CTCTTGGGAAAACACTATTTAACGTCATTAAAGTGCTGGTTAAAGTTAGGAATAAAGTTATGGTTAGACTTAGGGAGAAGGTTAGGTATAGGGCTGGAATACATGGCTGGAACGTCTATTACCGCGGGAGCATCATTCCACTGGATTTCATCCATAACCCGGTGCGGACCATAAGAACGTGGAAGGTCACCTTTCGCGTTCTCATGGTCCGCTGCGGGACGTGACAAAACGTCGAGATGTTACGTCTCGGGAGTGAGAACAGTATTTATGGAACCTAACAGCTCCTCTAAGAGTGAACAAACTCAGCAGTTTGTTTAATCAATGTGCAGTTTATTTTCCAATAAACAAAGTGTCACATTTATAATCTGCCTCACAGTCAGCAGGAGGAGCTCGGGGTCTGTGGAGGGTGGACAAAGTTCATCACTAACACCAGATGCCAAAGTTGTAACCTGTACAAAAAGTAAAGTAGAGCAGGGTGGGATAGATCCTCACCTGTAAGGCGTCTGTCAGGGACAGTTTGCGGTGCTTCATCAGGTAGGCGATGCAGATCGTGGCCGAGCGGCTGCGTCCGTTCTTACAGTAGACGACGCTGCGTCCGCCGCGGTTCGCCTCCTTCTGGATGGCGTCGGCACAGCGGTCAAAGTGGCTGTACAGGTCCTCGTTGGGGTCGTCGTAGATGGGTATCTGCAGCTTGGTGATGCTGCTGGAGGGAAACGGCTGCTGCTTGGACACGTTGATGCAGAGCGTCACCGCCTCCTGCTGGATGAGCTCGTCGCTGCAGGCTGAGCGGGCGTTACTGATGAACAGAGCGTTGGTGACTTTACACAGCTGCAACATCCTGCCCAGGCTGTGGAAGAACTGACCCTCGTGGGCTTCCTTACACTGTCAGTGAGGCTCACAGGTAACTAGTGCCTGGAGAGAGAGCGGTGTCGGGTTCAGCAGTCTATTTAACACTGAGAAAATGATTAGTTAGTCTCTGACTCTGTCACAGAGTTCAAGGCTACACCCGTCCACCCACTCTGACTTCCTCCTAAAAGTAAAACTAAAAGGAACGACATTCATTTTTAATTTTAGTTATTACTTAAATGAATATCTTTTCTGCTTGCTGAAGTAGAAGTGTGAAGGTAGAGCCTCGCGTAACTTCTGATGTGCGTTTGTCAGCGTCTTTTTTTAACTGTACAGTGTTTCACTTGCTGCATACTGAGCTGAATCTTTTACAGATATTACAGATTTGTTTTTTGTTAAAGAAAAAAATAACCTTCTCTTTACATACCAGGTCTTGAATAATCTGGTCATCTCATATCGTAAAACTCTATCATGTTACTCCATCAGTCATTAACTTTTGTCTTCTCTCTCCTACAGTTTCTTTTGTGTCATTGTTCTTCATGTGTTCCTCACAGAGGATTGTTTGATTACCTCTAATACTGTATTGTACAGCTTCTGCTGTTACCATACAAAGCGCTTTGTAGTGGTAGTGGTATAAATAATAACACATTTAATGTATTGATGAAAAATATATTTGCAAGATAAATCAGGACCTTTTTCACTGGATCACATATGAGATTCTTTTGCTTTTCCTTGTTTCACATTTCTGTAAATAAAAGCTGGATAAAGTACACGTCAGGATATCAGCTCACGCTACAGGATTTTTAATCACTTAAAATAAATGTAATCATTTAACCTATTGATGATTCACAAAGAAAATAAATCTTAGTTGAAGCATTTTACTTGGCATATGTCATCTCAATAATATAATAAAGGTACAGACATTAAATATTCTCTGTGGCCCCAGTGACAGAGATTTAAGATCTTCAGTTAACCTACAGAAACAGCAGGCAGTGAACGCCTCACACTCGCTGAACACAAGGACGCCGTGACTCACGTGCGGCTGATCTTCAGGCTCCTTCGCGCTCAGTTTGTGCTTTAAAGACGCGCCATGTTCGCTTCGTGCTGACAGGAGAGCTCAGACTGCTCCGGTCTGTTCAGGCCTCCTCATGATGACCCGGAGCTGTTCTGACCCGCACACCGACACCGCACACAGAACAGCGCACACACCACAACGCTGCTGACAGTCGCTCTGCTCTGGGTCTTAAAGCTGCTCAGATCCATGACTAAAATAGATGAATATTTGATTTTCATTTGATTTTATTATTATTGTTTTTATATGTTTTTGGAACTG